GAGAGTGTGTGTGTGTATATATATATATATATAGTTACAATTTTGGAGAGAAGCGTATAGATACAAATATGAGCTATAGGGGTAATTTCTACGGCCATTTCATTCAATTCTTGATTGTAATATGTAAAAAGGGGATCTTGGGTTTCGATTCAAATATCAATGGTTATAAATACTTTTAATTATATACATTTGATTCAAAAATCAATTATTGCAATGTGCAAACACTTTCAACTACTACAAATATTAACATTGTTGTAAAACAAACAAGATACCAGAATCGCTCTGATACCACTTGTTGTGTTAATTATGCCAAGAATCTCAGATACCACTTGTTGCGAATTCAAGGATCACATATCGCTCGATACCACTTGATATGAAACCAACCACTGAATTGAGATATTAAAGTTATATAACACAATAATGAAGTATTTGATCACAAGCAAAAGAATAAAAAAAGACAAGAAAATATGGCAAAAGAATTATGAGATTTTATGGCACCAATAATAATGGATAAATATACCATTGATCCTAAAGTTCTATTAATCTTTTTTCTCACATTATAAAATTGTATAGTAAAATCTAATATTTATAGGGAACGTGTATGGAATGTCCAAACTCTCCTAGTAGAGTTGTTGATAAAGTATGATACCAAAAAATTGAGTCCAAAACAAATTTCAACTCCAAATGGGCTTTCAAAATAAAACTTCAACTTGACATATGACTCCAATCGCATTCCAAACTGAATTTTTCTTGACGTGCACTTCAATTATAATTCTTCAATTATTTCAACATGAAATTCGGGTCACACCAAAACTCTAATAATCTTCATATTGACACGAATTCCACTGCAGCGAACAAAGCTCCAAAATTTTCTCCACCCGGAGAAAGAAATTCGTGTGCAAGGAATTAACCGACTCTTCATTAATAACCAAAACTGATTTCTCCAACCTAACACAAAATACACAACCTCTTCCAATGAATCAAAACACTACTTTGCAGAATTACATTAGATTCTGAAAAAATCATAATGATTTTAAAATTNTCAATGGCTTAGATTAAGTCACGTTAAATTCTTAAAAAAAGAGCAAAAATGATGGGATGGATCGATATGCCAAGCACTACTCTGTAAAATTATCTCAGATTCCCAAAAAATCATAATGATTTTAAAATTCACCAAACTGGGCTATAACACCCCCAAAGCAGAATCAAAACCAAATGTTTTTAAAAAATGTCCCTTACTAGATTGTACACCTTCTACTACGCTAAAAACATGCTCAACAAAATCAGCATCCACATACCTTTTACCACTGAGTCCATCCCTAGCAATTGAATACAACGGAATCGCAAGTGATGGTGGCAAAACGACATTATCCATATCTCCTGAACTCCACTTAGCAGTATTTTTCAAATTTGACCATTTACGAACTCCTAAAAGTATTGTATCAAATTGAATGTCCACCACGGTACTGAACCTGTGCTGATTGATTCTTCTAGATTCTGGACGACCCTGAAAGATGTATAATTGAGACATTTTCTGTCATTCCAATACATCCT